AGTCTCTCATGATTTTTCTTCAAAGAGTGAGTGATGGGTTCAGGGAGTGAGGCAGGGGGAAGGGGGAGCAGCGTAAATTCGGCAGCTCATATGTGAGCTCCGGCGAGAAGTCCACTCACGAAAAATTGCATGCCCCAAGTTTCTCAAAGAAGTGTGTTGTACTCAAGTAAATGTGCATTATAGTATGCTGCATTTAAATCTACTTTACTGTACCAAAGTACACTTTTGTTGACTGCATACATAGTTATTTTGTACTGTTGAATATAATTTCAAACAAATGCAGACAACCTTAAAAGTGTAACAAAGGAGCAGTTTGAAGTATTAACTGAGGTACCAACTTAGTATCTTATCACTTCTACCAGACCTTAAATTCATATAAAAAATGTTTACACCTTGTGTATTAATTTCTCCCTCAGCGTTGAGATGCTTGTGTACAAATTATCAGCCTCTTTTATTGCCCAGCCTGAATTATTAGTGGCATCCAGCAGACCACATGATACTGTTATGATTTGAAAATTGGATGAATGATGACAGACCTGTTCAAAGAGGAACAGGGGGAATTCATCAATGAAGACAGTACAGGTTTTTGAGGCAATCTGGAACCCATTGGCCAGTACAAATGCAAACAGGATGCCATTCACATCAAAGACATCAATCTTGTTGAAATCCTCAGTCATTTTTTGTTTCCTGAAAGTGAGGCTGAGAATGATGGCAAAAAATACTCCTTGGCCCATACCTATCAACCAGGCTGATGGAATGCGGTACAGTCTTCTCCAGTACCTATATTTGTTTTATGTGTGGGAAAGTGTATATATACCCCTGAAAATGTATGATGCTGATTGTGGGGGAAAGCAAAAATACCTGGTGATGAGAGTAGCCATTTGCCTTTGAATGCTGGCCTGTTTGTGGCCAAATGTGGTCAAGATGACATCATGCAACTCTGAGTTGCCCTTTTGTTGCTGGTGTTGAACTTCAAGGGCACTGATGTGGACTTGAAAGGCATTGCAAATTGCTTCAACTTTCTCCACATCGTTTTGCTGTGATGCTGAGTCTGTGCTGGATGCCTGTTGGTGAGTCTTTGTTGACAAAATGCTCATGTAGTAGTCAGAGGGATTGAAGTGGTTTGGACAGGGGTAACCCAGGGTTTCAAAAAACCTGTTGCATTCTCTGGGCCTGCCCAGGTATGCCACTCTCCCTCTTGCCATTATCATCACTCTGGAAAAACTGTGTCAAAAATGAAAAAAATATATACATTCCTGAGTGGGGAAATTGGTGCACACTGGGGATTTGTTTGTAATTCTACACAGTGACCCTGCTGTGCACCTGAAGTGTACCAAAGTTCTTCTGTTGCACATGCATATCTGCTATGTGCACCAATTGTGTGTTCACACCAGGATTACTCAGGGTCTGATGTGTGTTCACACCAGGATTACTCAGGGTCTCATTTGTAAACAAATAAGTTACACCAAGGTTACAGTTGGTGCATTTGTGTGATGCTGCCTGTTATTTCACATTTGTGCCCCAAGTATACCCTGGAATGGTAGCAAAATTTCCTCTACAGTAGTGCACACTTGTACCCCCAGAATATCCCTCATGCTCCAGTTGTGACCCTGGTGTGCACCTGCTGTGGGGTCACAGCAAAAATAGCTCCCCACTCGGGTTGGAATTTCTCAACTTGCATTTTAGAAATATGGGTGCTTCTTTATTGTCTGTCCACTTTTGCATACCTTCATTTTGGTATTGAAAAAGGGAATGTAATTTATGAATTTGATCATTAACCTGAAGAACAATGCAGAAGATGGCTGATGGATAGACACAATGATAGTCTTTCGCTTTTTCTTTGCCAGTGTGAGAAGTAGCTCAATGAGAAGCGTGGCTGTGAAAGCATCTGATCCTGAAGTTGGCTCATCACACACAAGCACTGATGGTTTGGCAAGGCATTCTGCTGCCAAGGACAGTCTCTTCCTCTCTCCTCCAGATATACCCTGACCTGGATGGCCAATCAATGAGTCCTCCACCTTCTTCAGATTGAACACTGTCAATGTCTCACTCACTATGTCTAATACTTGTTTCTGTGTGTGACTTGCAAGCCTCAGGGTGGCCTGAAAAGCATTGATCGAAATTATTTCTCAGCAACATCTCTGTTTATATAGTGCATTAACTCAAGTATATCACCACATGCCCTCAAACAAGTAGGTATAAGTAGTCTAAAATGCTTGTAATAACCTATCCCCAATGATAAAATATGTGAAAGCCATTCTTATAGTTATAAAATTGTGCTATACAGGTTGCAGAGTACAGTATTTTGAAAATGTAGCACATCAGAATTTGAAGTTTGATTGGATTTCAATAAATTTTGCATTGTTCCAATATTATTTTTTTAAAGGGGTCTAAAATTCCCCATTATAAAAACACTAAGTGCTGCACAAAGAGTGCTCAAAATGCTACAATTTTGAGAACATTTAGTATGCCTGCCTGCTGCATTTGACAAATGCCCTCTTTTATTTTTAAAGAAAAGTGAGCACAGCTGGTTTCTTGAGTAAATACAGTAAATGTTACTGCTGTTGATGGATGATTTACCTGTGCATGTAAGTGTTCCTTTACTGTCAAGTATGGCAACAAAAGATCCCTCTGTGGCACATACCCACAAATACTCTTCCTGTCATTTGAAGTCATATCAGTGTTTCCAAATTGAACAATCCCATCCACCAAAACTCCTTGTAAATGAAAACCTGCCAGAAAACTCAGCAAGGTGGACTTTCCACCCCCACTCTCTCCAAGGATAGCCAGTACTTGACCTGGCCTTACCTTGAGAACAATTAACTCCACCTTAAATCAAATGTTCTTGACTTATAATATATGTAGTATTACCACACCTTTCCAGAAACCCCTCTGAGGATTTCCCTTCCTCTTTGAAATTGGTACTTGATACACTGCTGTGTTCTTGACTTTACTGCAGCATGTATACTGTGGAATGACAGGGACAAACCCTTAGCCTAAATAAAAAGAGTCCAACACTGCACATTTGGCATTAGGCTTTTAATGGAAAAAGAGGCATACTAGAATTGATGGAAGCTCAGAAAAGACACCAGGATCTCCACCCAGTACAGGAGATACCTCTTCAGGTGAACCTTGGTTGCTTGTCTGCTGTTGAAAGTTGTCAGCATTCATATTTATTTTCCTCTTGCAAGAGAATAAACCAGGGACTGAAGTATATGTTCTGATGCCAGGACGAGATCCAGAAATGTGGAGTAAATTTGATGAAGGTTTTTCATGGAATTGTCAATGATCTATTCCAGGATGCCTCAACATATATGCTGTGGCCTTGCAATATTTTGTGCTGGGGCTGTATCTTTATTTTTGCAGCATATACTGTACATAAGTTAGAAATGTTGAAAAAATGCCGCAGATTAGAAAGATCACACATTTTGAAAATTTCTCTCAAGAAAATGGCACCCTATACAAGGCTTGCACTTCTGCTTGGCCTTGGGTATTTATTCTAAAGTAATAGGTACCACTGTATAGGAAAAAATGGATAATGTAGTCCATGCAATTATAAGGTACTGAGATTATTTTCATATATTTTATTTTAAAAATTCGATTTACTGCATGATAAGTGAAAACTTTCCAGTTTCAGTGAGAGTTCTCCATCATTCATGTCACAATAAGCTGTTAAACTTTTTCAGGCCAGACAAAATATTGAAATTTTTGTTTCAAGTTTGAATAATTTTTCTACATCCTTCGAATTTCCCCCTTTTTTCAATGATCATTTTGCTTGCAACAAATAAAAACACTCAAGAGCATTTTGCATTTTTCCAAGAGCATGGGTTCTTTTCCATTTCGTTTTATTTCCTCTTCCAAAACTTATTTTAATGTTGCCTCAAAATTTCATGGTAAATGGGTTTCAATTTTTATTCATTTATATTTTTAACTGGAATGGAGGAAAATGCTGGGGTTAGGAGGGTAATCTGTGCTGCTAACTGGAAGATGGATAAGATCTATATAAGGGGACTTGGGCAGAGGTCTCCTTGCCCTGCTGTTCTCTGAACTTGAGGCAGAAGAAAAAAATAAGTAAGAACATAAGTTCCATAACATTTTGAGTTAGTGATGAGAAAAAAATATCCCAGGTAGAACTATAGGTGTATTGAATGATTTTGAAGAGCAGGGAATTTAATAAAATCGAGATAAACCTTTATTGATCTTGGAAAAATTTGATTAGGTTTTGATCTGTTGCCAACAAAATAATCATTAAAACATTTGGAAATTTCAGAAGATCTATGGTTATTCATGTACTGTACATTTTATTCTGCCTTTTACAAATTACATGAATGGTGAACCCTTCAGGATGAGAAGCACTCTAATGTGGATATAGAAGGTAGACTCTGTTGTTCCCTTCAATTGTTCCTCCTTTTATTTTGGTTCTCGGCAAACAGATGTCGCTTGAATCTTGCGTGTTTGAGGAGCTTAGCTGCCTCGTGGAACGGAAACGCAGTTGCGTGTCAAGCGCAGTTGCCTCCTGCCCCGCTGGATTAATGGGATTTAAACCGATGAAATGAATGGTATCACAGAGGATATGAAGAGAGGGAATGTGGAAATCCCATTAAGGTGCAGAGTTGTTTTTCCAGTGTCGCGTTCGCTCGCTGAATTCGATGATGAAGTGATGAATTTGGGTCTAGTGTACTTTAGCGATGCCAGTTAAACGCACTGTGCGCGTTCATGCGCGCGTCCATTTTTCAACCCATGCTGCCCTCTATGTGTACTTTGCTTCCTTACAGCTTCGGAACCAATGTGGACA